ATAGAGGAAAAAATCATTTCAAAAATTTAAACATCAAACTTGGATATTCCTATTTAACAAGCAAATAACAAATTACTTGATCTAAATATATAGAATAATGTCTTCTTTTTTTTAATGACTATAATTTTAAAAATAAGGGATTTAAAATCTAATCCTTAAATTATGATATAATGTAAATATGATTTACAATCATTAGCAAGGCTAGGTGCCAGAACAACGTCTATTATTCTCTATAAAAGAGAGATTATTTATTCTTTTAATTGAAAATGATCATACATATAGTATTGCCCTGGTCCGCAATCCGATTTTTGCAATCACAAGGGCACCACCCAAAGCAATATGGGTCCCTCCCTCCCCTCGTGGGCGAAATTATTGCCCAATGTCCACGCGCGATTGCTCTCCTCGCCCACCACTTTTGCTTTTCCTATATTTATCTCCCTTCACTCCTCACCATTTCCTTCACACTTGGACTACTTTGGCCATGAGAATGATGATAGACTTTGGAAGCCAGCGAGGCCCTCTCCACATAATGGACACTCCAACCTCGGTGGATTGCGGCCGCGAAGTCCGGTTCCGTCGCTCCTTCCGCTCCCTTGTTGAGTGCATGGTCCCCTGTTGCGGCTTCCAGCCATCCGACTCATTTGCAAGTGACTCGGAATCTATCACCGGCTCAACCGTAACAGGCACCTTGTTTGGTTATCGCAAAGGCCGTGTCAGCTTCTGCCTCCAGGTCGACACGCGGAGCTCTCCCCTTCTCCTCCTCGAATTTGCAGTCCCCACCACGTACCTTGCCAGAGAGATGCGGTCTGGTATATTAAGAATCGCGCTCGAGTGTGATAAACAAAAGGAGAGATCTTGCTCTCTGTATGGCGTGGCAGTGTGGTCCATGTACTGCAACGGGAGGAAGGTGGGGTTCGCCATAAAGAGACAGATGAGCACCAACGATGCGGCCGTGCTGAGGCTGATGCACGCGGTGTCAGTCGGCGCGGGGGTGTTGTCGATTGCCCCACCCAAATCGGAGGATGGAGACTTGATGTACCTTCGAGCTAGCTTTGAGAGAGTGATTGGGTCGTCTGACTCGGAATCGTTTCACATGCTTAATCCAGGGGGGAGCTCCGGCCAGGAACTTAGTATATTTCTGCTCAGATCCTGATTAACAAGTGTAATAATTAATTAATAGTCGGTGATTATATATATATATATGTTCTAATCAAGCTTTAATAATCATATATAGCTTCTTAATTTCTATATACTATATATGGAGATTCCAAACACACATATATAGCTGTATATATAGATATAGAGAGAGAGAGATTTAGTACAAATGGAGATAGTTTAAAAAAAAATTTAAAATATGATATTTTTCCTTTATTAGTAGTAGAATTAAAATTAATTCTATAGAACAAACATGACAATGATTAAAACGCATGGATCACTAACTAATATATGACTTTTGCCAAAAGAAAATCACACTTTACTCGTTTATTATAATTCTTTTTAAAATCAAAATCATGAGATTTTGATTTTTCTTGGTACAAAATATAAATTGCATGTATAGTATACAAATTCATGATCTATAAAAAAAATGTAAAAATATCATTATTATTTTAAAATGAGAAGAGTATAACAATAATTGGTACTAGCTGATGATGCCACGTCAATAACCTGGTGGTGGTGCAATTCACAAAGAAAGGAGCACATAGGCCATGGTCAATTCAATTTGATCAATAAATAGCGATTGATGAAAAAGTAGTCGATCGAATGATTTTTTTTTTTTTTTTTGAACCAATAGAATTTTTGGGGGGTGAATCCAAACCTTGCTCGAGGATGAAGACTAAGCATGCACTTCTAAATGGGCGAACAGGCCTAGTGTGCCTGATCAAATGAAATTTCTTACGAAAAATTTTCAATTTATATATGTTAGATGTATTTTTTTCAAAAAAGAAAAAATCTCTTTGCAGGGCATATAACAGGGAATTAATACCAAATCCACCTCTTCTTATATTACAATTTAATTAGATTTGAGAACTCGAATATGGAACGTATACCCTTGATATTTAACTTGGATCTATATGAAACCGAATTTGTGGTATTGCGAATTGCTGGGACAGATTTTTGTAAAAGAAAAATAGGTGAGGTGTCTCACGGGCTAGAAGCCAAGGGATTGCGACAGGAGGGTGATAGTAATGGTGATTGACCGTTGGCTGGACATGTATTTTAAAGAGTAATTGAGATTGGGATTGGGATATTATGTCTGGGACAGCCTACAGGAAGAATCTGTTTTGTGTAATACAATATATTAGGGTTTCTTCTCTAGTAAAC